GGAGAAGAAGGGGAGGAGGGGGAAGATGAAAGAAGGAGGTAGGTCTCTTGGCTCCTCTGTGCCCCGGAAGCTCCTGCCCCATTACTATGTTTCACTCCCAGCAAAGCATCCTGAGTTGCCAGAAGCAGCTGGCTCTACGTTCTCGCCTCACTTGTCAAAGTGACCAGTGATCTTCATGCACCAAGGTCACTTCTCCAGTCTCACCTTGCTTGACCTCCCAGCAGCTATCTTTACAACTGGCCACTCCCTTCTTTTTGAAACTGTGTTCACTTGGCTTTCCTGGATGTCGTCCTGACTCAGCGGCCACTTCTTCTTATTGTTATTGTTTATTCTCATTAAAATGAGACCCTATCCCAAGGCTGTGTGCTGGACCCCCCCCCCTCTTTCTTTAGCTAAATTTTTCAAAATGACCTCATCAAGCACCATGGCTTCAGATATCTTTTTGTCTATGCTAGTGACTTTGAAATCTCCACATGTGGCCTTTCCCTTTCCATGGAACTCCATGCTTCTACAGCTGCCTGTCAACTCGCAGTCTCCATGTGGACACCTAGTAGGCACCTCAAAATATCATGGTCCAAACTTAAGTATGTTTTTCCTCTCTCCAACCAAGCTCCTCCAAGTCTTCCCCATCTCAGTAACAAGCATCATTATCGATCTGGTGACTCTACCCCCTGGTCTAGAGGTTGCTTAGCTGTGGCTCCGGCCAGGAATGTGCCCCACACAGTCTTCTGCTGACTGACCTCTAATTAGGCAAATATCAACTACAATAACACCTCCTCAAGAAACCTTTCAGAATCCACCCAATCTAAAGCAACAGCCAGGTACTCTGCATCAGACTGTAAATCTCAGCAAAGCACATACCAATGCTATTTTTTTTACTTGTTTATATAATATCTTCCTCCAACTAAGAGAGCAGGCCCACTGCCTGTTTATGTACAGTTGTCTGTCTAGAGCCTTTACCATTGCCTGGCACATAAGAGGTGCTCAGTGAATACTTGCTGAATTTGAGTAAATGAACAAACCAATGAACCACTAAGCTATTTATGGCCTGGAGCTAAAAACAGCATTCTTTATCCACTACAAGAAATGTTGTTCAAGGCAAACAGACCACAGGGGTTTTGCCCCTGCTAAGTAAGACATGATCACAAGTCTGTGAGCCACTGTCTAGCAGAAATGATCAAGTGCTTTGAAATTGCCACAGTAGACAGAAAAGAGAGGGAGTCAGGGGAAGATTCAAGGGGATTCTTCAAGTCAGTGGGGTCTTCAAGGAAATGAGATATATGGTTGAATATACCGAAGGTCAGCAAATTATTATCAAAATTATGGCTAAATCTGGACTCACCCATTTATTTCTATACCATCTTTTATGGCTGCTTTCGAAACAACTGAGAAGCTGCAATGGAGACCTTACACTGTGGAGCCAAAAATACTATCTGGCCCTTTACAGGGAAAGTCTGTTGACTTCTGATATAAAATAGATTAGATTTCTGTCATACAGAAGCCCACAACCACGACCTCTGTAAACAATCACAGGGTCGGGCATTCGGAAGGTTGAAAACAGCACAATTAGGGCAAAAGCCATGAGCACAAACTAAGCCTAAATTAGCAACGGTAAATTAGTGTTTTCACTTTTCAGAGTATACATACTATCACTGACATCCCTGACTCCACAGCAGCCCAGGAGAAGCTGTCGTCACCACTCACTTTGCAGTTTCCAGGGCCTTTACGGCCTTGTCGGTCTCCCCTTGGGCTTTGTACAGAAGTGCCAGCTCAAACAGAGTAAAGGGCACCAGGTAGTGGTCGAACTTCAGCATCTTTTCACTAAAAGAATGAATGAAAAGCAATTAAGTCTTAACAGAGCAAGGAACGAATCATTCTTTTTCAACATACGTATTTCCCCATTCCCCATAAAACCAGGGCTACCGGAGAAAAGCTGTTCTTATATAAACTTTACTCAAAGAAGCTAATAAGCTATGGCAATAAATAGTATGCTTTTAATATATTAATCTCCTATTTTATTCCTTAGTCTAAATTGGACCAGCACTGAGGATTGTTTACTGTCCCTTAGGGATATGAACACATGCAGATCTTCAAAGATTTGTCCTGGAAAGGACAAGATCATCCTCCTGAACATAAATGTGTTTCATTTTAAAAATAAGAATGCTGTATTATTTTTTTACTAAGGCTCACTTTGATTTGTATTAAGACTTATAATGCTAAAAAATGTCAATAAAGAAGTGGTCAGCACTTCTGTTTTCAGCAATATTATGAAAACTCTCTGCTGAAAACACATCTACAAACATTAAAAAATATGAGAAACACACTTTCAAATGCATAGCTCAGCTCCCATGAACATAAGAAAAATTCTCAAACTGAAAACAAAACTAAACCAGAACTCTTGAGTGTGTGGATGATGCCAAAGCAGTCGGGGCTACTTCAGTCTGAATCAGCCAGGGCCTTGTGTTTCCATGTCCAGGAGGAGATGAGGCCTGGCCCACAGGACAGGGAGCAGGACGGAGACCCCTGTGTAAGCTGGGACCCTTGAAAGACTGCTCCATCAGAGAAAGGGCGGATTAGAAAAAAACACTCTCTGGCACAGGAGAAAAACACAGGGCGTTGGCTCCTGGGCCTCTGCTCCAGGAGGAAAATAAAAACACTCCTTGGGAAATGAATAACCAATAGGCCGGTCCGCACATGAATCTGCAATTCAAATGTACATTGCCCCAAGGACCCAAGGACCTCTGAGCAATAAAATTAACACCAATGTGGTTCTGGGCTGGAAAGGTCTTTGGGGCACCTGGCAGAAAGAAAAGCAAAATGACTTCTTATTTTAATCCTCACCTCAGGATATATTTTTTCTCATTGATTTTTAGAGAAGGG